TGGCACCCCACAGTCCGGTGGTAGCGGCCCCCCCTTCTTCCCCCGTCGCTGGATCACGGCTCGGGCGAGCGGTCCTAGCGGTAGAGCCCTTCGGCCGATGACGTTCCGGTCGCGGATCTGGACGGCGGCGGTGACGGCCCATGGCTAGCCCAGATCTAGGCCCTATGGGCCCTATCTGGGTCGGAGCGGGCCTGCTGGTGGGCCGCGGTGGGTTATTCCCCGGTGGTTCTGGCGAGCTCCTCGCGACAGGGACGGCGGCTGCTGTGCCGCGACTGCTGCAGCATGGCGGCTGAGCTTCACGGGCCCATTCTGGGCCCGGCCGAACATTTGGTCTGGTGTGCCTCTGCTGCTATGCCCGGTTTGCTACCGCCTAAGCTGGTGGAGGTTGTTCCCTCCCTCGTCGCTGCGGTGCTGCCGGTCCTTGTCTACAGGTGTCTCGTTTGGATCCGGCCGGCCTCGCTTCGTTGGATGTGGTGAGACGACGGCGGTGTCCTCGTGACAGTGTTGGCGCATGTTGGTGGGCGGCGGGTGTGGTGGAGCCGAAGGTTGGTCCTGGGTGGCGGGCGCGAGGGATCGGGAGAATTCCATGTCGGGTCTTGCCGGCACCAACGCGGTGACGCCTGCGGGCGCCGCCATCCTTCTTGAAGGGCGTCGGGTGACCCTCTCCTCCCTCTACCCTTCGTATACCGGGAGACATCCTAGGATTCGTCCGGGCAGCAGTGTCATCATCGTCGCATTCCTTCTTGAAGGTGGTGCTTGGTACACGGCAACTCGGTGACTTTGGAGCGTGGTGGTTATCTTCGGTGGGCGCAGCGGTCGCAGGCTGTCGTAGCTTTCGTTGATCCGGCGTTGTTGGCATTTTTTTCCTCTTATTTTCTCTTGTATTTTCTTTTGGGTGTGCTTGTGCTATTAACCCCAGCGTTAATCGGAATGTTGTATCGGGTGGTTGCTATAGCGGGGCGAAAGCATATTTCAAGCATCGTCACAGCAATATATCTTCTTCTTCCACCGTCATCTGTAATCGAAAATCCTAGACCTA